TCTCCCTTCCGTAATCCCAAGCCATTGTGTATAAGCCTTTTCCCTGCTATATCCAAGCAGAATAGGGATGGCTGAACAGCGTATTTCCATCCTGTTTCAGTTTTGCTGGCAGCTCAATCATAGGCCTTCCCCAGCCCATTTGTGTGGGGTTTCGTTTTGTGAAATAATGCACAAAAAGTCTTCATTTAAATTGTCCACATTTTGCACCTAGTTTTTAAAGGAAGTACACACTTTTAAAAATGCAAAATGCAAACTTAAAATGTGTTCATCTATAAAATGTGCATTTTGCCTGCAAATTTTCTGTAAAATGTTTGTTTATTTATTTGTGTTTACACATTTTGCACCTTAAAACTTCATCACACAATTTGGAGAAGTGAGCGACCAGTCTGGGAATTACATTCTGATCTACAAGGAAGTTTAGGAAGCTCTAGTAGCTTCCTTTTTAGCCACAATTTTACCCGAAAGGATTCCCAATGAACCATTGCTTTGGGAAATTGACTGGATGTAGCAGAACATCTAAGTGCACACAACCATAGTGTGACCCCATAACCCTTGACAGCTTCACCCTTGTCCTTTTAATTATCCCAGTGATTTGAAACGTTTTATATTGTGATGCCAATAAAGCGATTTGATTTGATTTGAACCAGCCATAATGTTACTGATCCAACCAGTACGTATTTGTGCTATCAAATAAGGTCTAAAAGCCAGTAAACTCACAGTCTCTACCTGAGAGCCACACAACGGCTGCCTTGGCCCCGCACATGAGTCACAAGACTCCACCCTGGTTCTGGCCTGTATCCAATTTTCCTTTGCTAGTGCAAAGGGGCTTTCTTGGGCAGATGGTTGAGTTGTAATTCACCCCATCAATCCAATGCAACCGTGGAACTAGCAGAAACTTGTTGTGCACCAAAGTTGTGCACCAACAACCTGCTTATGCGTTCTCTTGCATAACAATGTTCTGCTGGCACAACACATTTCACCAATGGAACAAGAATGCCAGAACCAATTAAGTGGTTTTTCACTTAGCGCTACAATCCAATGTATGACCAGCGTTGGATACCACCTTGTTTCCCAACCCTGCCACCTGATACCCATTTAGTTCAGTGATTGGGAGCCATCTGAAGCCCGGGGGCCACATTCTGTCATGGGGAACCTTCTGACTGCTTCATGTCAGAGGTGGATGGGGCCAGAGGCAAAAGTGTGTGGAGCAATGTCTGGGACTCTGACCACACACAGAATCATAGAATTGTAGAGTTGGAAGGGACCCCGAGACACAACTCCTGCAATGCAGGAAACTTTTGAACCCACTACCCTGAGATTAAGAAACTCATGCTGTCAGGACCGAGCTATTCCAACGTCTCTCTCCATCCAAACAAGCGCTATCACAGTTCAAAGGCACCTTCCAACCAGGCAAAAGCACCCAGAGGAGGGCAACTGAGAAGCATGGTTTGAGGAAGGGGCATGGGCCAGGGAGATCCCCGAGGGCCAGATAAGGAAAACTGAAGGGCTGCATTTGACCTCTGGGACTCAGATTCCCAAACCATCTTTTAACTGGAGGAGCAAGAGGTGAACTCTTTTGTTGCTGAGCTATGGCTGTCCCTATGTCTCCCCCCACCCATGAGCGCCCTGTCACGGACAGCCTGGCCTGCTCTGTTTGAAAGATCCCCTTCCCGTGCATACGACCCCACGACTCAGAAGGCTGACCTGGCTTGAGAATAGTCCCTGAGAAATCTCATTTACATTTCACACATGGACGGCTCTATTGTGAAGCCACCTTCAGGGAATTGGGGGCATGTCAGAATAAGCACAATATGTTGGTGGGCAGATCAATTATATGTAATTAAAATATGCTAATCACTTGTAGCTCTCCTATTCTGCTTTTGCTGTCTCTTTATTGTTTTATTTTCCTATTCATGTTTGTTTCGTGTGTGTTTTAAGCTTCCTACGATGGAAAGCCTTATTCATTCATGAACTTTTATTTCAATACTTTTGGCATACAAAAATCTGATAGATGGACTAAAAAGAAGAAAGGGAAAACGGTAGTGGACGAGGCTATAATAATAAAACACTCTCCCCTTTTTTGCTGAAATAAAACTGTTCTGTAGCAAAAAGACTGAGGACTGCAGTATAAATTTAATGTCTTCAGATTGACCTGGGTAGTATCATAGGCTGGGTTATGCAGCTGCCTTGTACACAGAGCTGCCTTGAAGGCACAGGTGCTGACACCTGCTGCAAGAATTGTGACTGGTTTATCTAGATAGAGCCATATTATGCTGATTCTGAAGGTACAGTCATACCTTGGGTTATGAACGCTGCGGGTTGCACGTTTTCAGGTTGCGGATCGTGCTGAACCCGGAAGTACTGGAATGGGTTACTTCTGGGTTTTGGTCTCACACATGCACAGAAGCACAAAATGATGTCACGCGCATGCGCAGAAGCACCAAATCACATCACGCACGTGCACAGATGTGGCACTGCGCTGCGAGTTGCGAACGCTGCAGGTTGTGAACGTGCCTCCCGCACGGATCACATTCGCAACCCGAGGTATGACTGTATAATAATGGCTGGATAGGAAAATGATTATCTTAGCTGACCCTGCTTTCCCAACCATCTCCTAGTTTTACATTTTCTCTCTCCTAATCTACACATTTTTGTATGCAATTATCCCTAAATTGCTCATTTTTGCAAATCAGCTTTCCCTAATATAATATGTTTTTGTATGCTCCTTACACTAATGTATGCATTTTCAATGCACACTTTGCCCTAGTCTATGTATTTGTGTGCACATTTTGGGCTGCAGAACTGCACTGCGAAACTGTCTTATAGTTTGCAAATCGTTTCTGAAAGCCAAGATTCGGTAGTCCAACGTTTTCATTGCAAACTGAATTGAGTTCCTCCCCCATCCCTATCCACTGGCTCCAACTTTCCTGCAGGAAACAGAATGTAAGAATGGTTCCTATGCGCATACAAGTGTGTGCATGATCTGGAACCCCGCCATGGTTCCAGATAAACATGTGTAGGCCCTGTGCACGTTGACCCTGCTCTTGTGCATCAGAGATGTGGAAGTTGGGGATTGGACTAGCAGCAGCGTCAAGTTTGGAAAGCTTGGTTGCGTGAGTCACTATGAGACTCGTGTCTTAATGCATTCGTGGAAGAAATGGCAGCTTCCACTGAACCGAGGCCGCATTCCTCAAATGTGGGAGAAGGAAGTGCCTGTTACACTTGCTGCAAGTGGAATCCCTGATCCGGACTTTGTGTAATTATAGTATGATGTGCATGTGTATGAGAGAGAGAGAGAGAGAGAGAGAGAGAGAGAGAGAGAGAGAATGGTTCAGTAGTTTGATGGCAATCTGTGTCATGGAGAAAAGAATTTGCTATCCACCACAACAATGAGTTTCAACACAGATCAGTCTCAAAATAGTTACAAATATACATTACAGAGTTACAAAGTAACATATTGCTCTTAAACAAGAGAGCAAACAATGTGGTCCTTAAAACAGTTCAGTTAACTTTCCTCTCTCTTGCCCCAGAGAGAGATCCTAAGCAACTTGTTTGTATCATCTTCACTGATGAGCTTCCAGCTGTTACTGCTACTGGTTTCACCTTCTTGCTATGAGAGATATGCAGCTTGGGTTTCTGGGATGAGCCATCAATTAACCTGAAACAGAAACACCCACTTTTTTTGCTGCATTTGCCAGAGTGAAACCTCCTGCCTAATGCAGAAGCTTCTCTGCAAATACATTCATATGAGGTTTTTAAAAAACTTAAATGAATACAAACATCTGCATTTTATGCATATGAAACTCATTTTTGAAACAGCCCCCCTCCCTGTCATACACACACAACAGACAGACAGACAGACAGACAGACACACTTGGAGTTCTCTTGGCCTCTGCCCCCTGCCAAGAAACATTGGCAGTTAGCAGGATTTTTATTTATTTATTTCCAGGGTTGGCAACCCTACAGAGCAGAATTTTGCCGCCTTTGACTGATACTGGATTTGTTGGTGCTGTGGATTACTCCTAATGAACTGCTGTATGCGGATCTGTGTTTAGGTGGTTTTATAAATTGTGTGTATTTTAATTTTTCTTTTGGTAAGCTAACTTGATGATCTGTTTCTGTGCTGGAGGGTGGGATATAAATTTGAAAGTAAACAGATCTTATTATTAGAAGCCAGTTACAGAAAAAAGAGCCATAGGCCCAGAATTGCAGGAAGATTTGCCCTAGCATTTTAACTATTCTCTTTCTTGATGGTGTCGTTTTGTTCCTAGGGGTGTCAGGCAATTTTTTTGCTTTTTAATTGTTCGTCACACAAAGACACACATATAGACACACTTTTTAAGAAAAGAGGGGGAGGTGATATTTAAAATACCAAACTTTTGGCAGAGGATTTCCAGATGGTTTTGAAGGTTTGGGTTTTTCTTTTTTTAAGCAAACAAGAACGTTTCTTTTTAAAATACATTTTTTTTAAAAAGGAATCTGTGAGGGAGGAAAAGGAAATTCTTCTTCTTTTTTTTAACCACCTCCTACAGTGTTGAGCTATCTTGCTTGAAATTAAGCAAAGTATGATCTGGGTCCCCTAAAGCATCTCTTCAAAAGGACTAAATTAACATCATTACTCCAAAAATGGAAAAGAAAGGATATATATTTCTTCTCCTATCAAAACCTTAGTAGACTTCCAACTGCCTGATTTGGTTTTTAATTAAGGCGGAGGCTAAAACCATCTAATTCAGTTTGGATGTTGCACAGGAATAAGATTAATTGAGGCAGTTGCCCTTTTGGGGTTCTCTCTCTGCAACTGAACAGCTTGCCTTTCTAGGTGTCTTCTTCCAGAATGACTCTTTAGAATCTGTGGTGGGCAGCCTATGCTGCTCAGAAGTTGTTGGACTCCAAGTCCCATCAGCCTCAAACATACAGACTAGGGCTAATGGGAGTCCAGATATATAATTGCAGATTTGGAAGGGTCATCTAGTCCAAACCCCTGCAATGCAGGAATCTTTTGCCCAACATGGGGCTCAAACCCATAGCCTTGAGATTCAGTCTTGTGCTCTACCCACTGAGCTATCAAACTTGGGAGCCCAACAATATCTTGGGGGGGACCGGGACAGGACACACAGATTTAGTCACCCTGCATTAGAACTTGCAGATATTTATTACTGATTGATGAGATGGCTTTATTCCAAAATGTGTACCTGCACTAAATACCTTCCAGGTTAATTTGAGAGTAGTCCTGTTGCTTGAATTTGCAGCCTTGGTGAGCCTTGCAGTTCAGCAGGTCAACCTATTTTTGCACTGTAGATGAGGAAAATATGCATTCAGTTGTGTGTCATTTGTGGATTGAAAGGAACAAAAGCAACAAATACCAGTAGCATTTGCCGGATAGAGTTCCATTCCGGACACAGGACACATAAGTGAACATTAGCATTTTCAACTCCAATTTCTGTTTTGGTACGACTCCTCTTACATCCCCAGTTGTAACTTTTCCTGAGGAGCTACACTATGGTGAGATTATTTCAAGTGTACCTATTTTCCAGGAACAGTCCCAAATTTACAGACACCATCCTGATTTCTGATTTGATCCTGGAATGTCCCGCTTTTCCTTAGAATGTCCCTATTTCCATCAGAAAGATGTTGGAGGGTATAGAGTTATGTGACCACCAAGCCAAGGAGATAATTAGAACCCTTAGAAGACATCTGAAGGCAGCCCTGAATAGGGAAGTTTTTTAATGTTTAATTATGTTTTTATATATGTTGGAAGCTGCCCAGAGTTGCTAGGGCAACCCAGTCAGATGGGTGGAGTATAAATATTATTATTATTATTATTATTATTATTATTATTATTATTATTGAATAGGATGTCCCTATTTTCATCAGAGAAATGTTAGAGTGTTCAGGAAAGTAGGGAGACTGCATATGTTAGGCCTTGGGCAGTTTGTGGCAGGCTTTAAGGACATTTAATGGACCTGGAACATTGTTTCAGAAGTTTAATGTGATACCACCCACTTGCTAATAAGAATGACTTTGTTTTATAGCATTTAACCTTTCCCCGTTGAAGAATCCTCCATTCCTTTTTGGGAAATCCATTTTTATTTTTTGATAAATAACTGTTGTCATGAAGGTTAATGGAGTGTCAGTCTCTTTATTTACTCTCATGTCAGAAGCGTGCAGCTCATTCTTCATGACCAATTGACCTCAACACTTAGCGGGTGGATATTGTCAGAACAATTATGGCAAATATGCCATTATAGGGTCATGTGGACGGAGTCGGGCGAAATATGCTCACATCAAAGAAGGATCACACAAACACATGTATAATCACCTCCGTTTGCGGACTTAATCCAGGATCTGAAAATTAGGCTGTGCCTCTCACTGGCTCCTGCCACCTTTCTACACTTTAAGTGCCAGGAATAAAAAAATATGTTGGAGGAAGTAATCAAAGGTCAGACACACAATCTACAGGACACTGAAAGGTGGGTTGAAAGGAGTTGTGAGCTCTGGCATCTAATGTGAACTAAGCTGTTCTTATCTGCATAGCCCCTCCCTTGATTTGCATCATTTCACCTTGGAGTGTGTTTCATCATCATTCTGCTACAACAACAAGACAGACTCCAGGAAGTAGAATGTGTGCAGGCATGAGAAGACTTGTCACTCTGGCCTGCTTGGCAGGCTTATGGATGATGAGGTAGCCAATCACAGAAGGTGACCGCGAGCAGGTAGACTTATGTCTTGGACTCTGCTTCTCATGGGTTGGCCTAAAACCTAGCAAGCTCAGCTTGGGTATGGTCCGGGCAAAGACTTGGGGAGTCCAGAACTTGTGTGCAGAAACTGTACGCTTGAAAATGGCACCCACCTCCATGCACACCATGTGGTGATGCAGTGTCATGATCCAAAAGTTGTCCACTTGCTCAGCATGATTTGACCTCTTTTCTGTAGGACGTGACAGACTTGACCATCCATATTTGCTGACTCAGGATCACGCCAAGCCTGGGTTGTATGGAGGGAGCAGGAGGGAGTCAAGCACCATTCAAAGCAGGTTTACCCTGGTGCAGTCACCTGATGCAATTTCAAGGGGTTATTGCAATGCAAATCCATGCTTGGCTTGTCCTTATCTATCTGTTTTCCTGGTTCACTTCCTCCCAACCCCTTTCACCAATGTTCCAGGAAACCAGTGGTTGGAACTGCCAATCCCAAGCAGATCAGAGAATCTCATTGTTACTCCAGTACAAAGGTGAAGTTGCTTGTGCAGTGATTAAGTCCCCCCCCCTCCCCGGTGAACACCACCTTATGCCTGCAGAGTCCACCTTTATTGGGTGGTTTGCTGTGATTTGAGAAGGGATTAGGACTCCTCTGGAAAGGGATAATAATATTGTTAGTCTGCACATAACTTGGACAAGAGCAGACCCTGGTTATAATGTCATTTGCATCTTATTTCTACTGCTCCTCTGGATAATTTAATTTATTCAGGCAATTATATTTTAAGAATGAGAAACCCACGCTTCAACACATCTTAAAAACGGTTATTTTTCTTTAAATCCACCTACAACTAACCGTTCACATGTTGTGCGTGGATCATGCATGTTCAGTTCAGAGCCATTAAAAATGAAAGATGGGAGGTGTGTAAATCCCTGACAGGCCACCAAATCTGCCATAAAAAATAATAATTAAAAAGCTGAAGTATGACTCCTGTAACCAAATACCCTGCCTTTGTGTTCGCCCCCTATCTGTGCTCAAGGTCTCTAGGTGCTCAATGGGAGCCTTTTAATTATTTTTCTCTGTTTGATGTTGCTAAGTATAATGAATGGATTTCAGAGGGGTTTTTGTAGAACCCTCGATGCGTATCAGTTCAGTGCCGTTAGGCACAGCAATACCTGGCTGGATCATACCCTGAGATTTGCTCTTTGTAGATCTGAAGGCCAGAAACACCAGATTGTTTAAAGCCAGGCTCTATTAGTCAAGGAAATACGTCCCTGTCACAGATACATGCTTTTCTTCATTCTTGGGGGCAACAGGAGCTGAGAAAACTTAGCACATCTTTCGCAATTTGACTTTTGCGGGGCTAATTCCAACACATTGGTGTAACTAACAATAAATAACTGAGACCTGCAACCGAATGTTGCAGTGCTAAGTGCTCCTGTTCAGCGTTCCAGCCAACCTACTGATGTCTTTTTAAATAATGCACCATTTCCACCTCTCCTGAGCGGGCTCCTGCAAACTCCCTGTTATTACTCAACAGCCCCATTTGGGCTGCAGTCCTGTTGGCACTCACCAGTTTGCTAGTAGAAGGAGTCCCTGAGATACAGGGGCAGGTTTCATGACAGAGTATGACAGAAGAGCTGGACTAGATGGGCTGTTGACTTGATCCAGCAGGGCATTTCTTATGTTCTTATGTAACAGTCATGCATGAAGATGCCTCTAGGTGAGACTTCCTCTCTGCATGCTAATTTGGAATACATAGGGAATACATCTTGTGGGGAAGCATTCAAATAATTTTGTCTCCCACCTACAGCCCGAAATAGTTAACTGGCTTGACTCGCATCTCTCAGACTGATATGTAGATCAGAATTCAGGATGCAGTCTTAATTCATCCCCACCCACCCCAAGACCTACGTTCAGTTCTCCCCACTAAATCATCAGTTTGTGATTTAAAAACAAAAAACCCAACATACACATGACATCTCGTATCTCTCTCTCTCTCTCTCTCTCTCTCTCTCTCTCTCTCTGTGTGTGTGTGTGTGTCTCTGTGTGTAAATATATACCGTATTTTTCGCCCTATAGGATGCACTTTTCCCCCTCCAAAAATGAAGGGGAAATGTGTGTGCGTCCTATGGGGCGAATGCAGGCTTTCGCTGAAGCCTGGAGAGCGAGAGGGGTCGGTGCGCACCGACGCCTCTCGCTCTCCAGGCTTCAGGAAGCTATCTGCAGGAGTTCCCGCCGGGCTCCCACGGCTTGCGGAGAGCTGCCTGCACCCCGAAGCCCGGGCGCGCTGAGCAGTCACGCCTGGGCTTCGGGTAGCTCTGCGCAAGCCGTGGGAGGGCTCCCACGGCTTGCGGAGAGCAGCCTGTTCTGGGGCTGGGTCGGGGGCTCGCCCCGCCCAGCCTAGTGGAAATAATTTTTTTTTTCTTTATTCCCCCCCCCAAAAAAAACCCTAGGTGCGCCCTATGGGGCGAAAAATGTGGTACATTTCTGTGTGCATGTCACCTAATGTTGACATTTTTGCAAACATTTTCCTTAAATATAATGCATTTTTTTCACTGCTTTGGGCATATCTGCATGTTTCCTCATCCCCCAACATATGCTTTTTTGCACACACTTTTTGGGTGTGCAAATTTAGAAGAACATCTGAGTTTCACTTAATATATTAGCTTGGGAAGTGTGAATGAGGGTGATTCACATTTAAAAAATGAACACCTCCTGTTCAGCACTGGACTAGGCATTCTGAGATGAATTTTCTATAGGGAATGAGTGGGGCTTTAAAAAAATGGTTTAGAATATATACTCTGGCCTTTGTATAGGAGTTTACTGGCTTCCTCATTTCTTTCTCTTTTAAAAAAGGAAATAAGTAGTGAAAAAGAGAGGATTAGTTACATTTTGAATTCAGCTGCTGTCAGAAGAGAGAAATAATAGGAGGAAGGGTTAAAAATATGTTATCAGTGGGAATTATGAAATGAGGCTGTGCTTTTAAAATTACAATTTAATGCAGAGAGAAGGAAAATAAATGCAAAACACAGATAATCAAGGGGAGGAATGTACTTGGAAAAGGAGTAATGGTGAAAAAAAGATTTAGGTGTGACAGACCAAATTAGATGTGAGCTTCCTCTGAGGCACAGAAAAGGGGAAAGGGAGGTAACGACGAGGTAATTGTCCTGCTCTTCATAGCTTCTGGTCAGATTACATGTAAAATATTGTGTTCAATCCCAGGCACCTCAAAAGATGTCAACAAATTGGAGGGATTTCATACGCGAGCAGGAGAAATGATGAAAGGGCTGTAGGAACTCATTTGTGGAGAAAGATTGAAAGAGCTAAATATGTATACAGAAGGGCTAAATGTGGCAGGAGAACTGCCTGAAAGGATGTCA